TCCTCTGCTGGTGATGGTGGTGACAGTATAGTGAAATGTAGGGTCATATGAGTAGTAGTAGGTTTCATCCGTACGTCGTGTTTTACTATCGTATCCATACGACGTGGGGGAACTCTGTGCCACCACTTTCCAAAGAGGAAATTTACTCGTTTATCCGATCCATACGCTTTGCAAAGCAGTCTGTCAAAATGATTTTTTGAGAAATACTGAAAGTTTCAAAGAGATCTTTGCACTAGAAGTATTCTAAAATGTGAATAATACAACCCCGGGGGTACAAATTGACCACAGGGCGTACGGATAGGGTTAAGTCTATGGTCGTATGAGCCCCTAAAGAGGTAGAAGCCCATCAGTCAATGACAGTTAGTTTTTCAGAGCGGGTTTCCTCGATCCATCACTTCTCAGTGTTTTCTGATTAGGAGTTTAGGAATAGAGTTCGGGAACACAAGATGCAAATCTCCGCCCCCATGCTAAGATTTCGTGCTCTATCGGTCGCGGAGCTGGCAGAGGAGTCCAGGACAACAATTGTGCCACATGTTTACGAGCCCTTGCTAGACTCACTTTGTTACACCGTCTCCAGCCTCTTTCAATAAAGTTAATCTAAGTGAGGCAGCGTGGTGAAATCAGGCGCTCGTCAAGATAATCAAAGTGAAGAAACTGGCATTTTTCCGGAGCTTTGTGGATTTGTACCGAATTTTCGTTGGGTATTTTTTTTTTGACTCAACACATCTCATGCCCATTAAAAAACGCATTTCTATGTGGATTTTTTTTTTAAAGGCACAAAAATATGTACATTTTCAGTTTCCATGGACTCCCAAGCTAACGAAGTAACTATATAGGCCCTATAATCTTTGGCAGCCATTTTCTCCCACCTCCCTCATTCGCAAATTTCTCCACCTGTATACAATATAAATGGATATTTTTTTCATCAGAAGCAAAACAAATTTTAATGAATAAGGTTTAGGATGATATCAATAATTATACACCCCCAAACAGTGACAAGAGCCTGATTCCACCACGTCTTGATACGTATAACAGTATTCCTGTGTTGCAAGGGTGGCAGTGTAAAAAAAGAATGCGCCTCCCCCCCCCCCCCCCCAAACCCGACCCCTCATGTTTATGAAAAGCACACGTTTAACAGTAACGCATTTTCTTTTTAAAAATCATAATGTCAGAGAAACTGCCAATAACTCGAGACGTCTGTAAAAATCTTAGTTGTCTTCGGTACAAAAAGAATAGATCTATTCAATTTCCATAAAGGCAGGGCTTTCAAGGCAAGTAAAGACGTTTTATTTCTAAAAGGGAAGGATCTCGCGCCCACAGACAGGTAAACATCACACATAAAACGACATATTGTAATATAGCTGGGGCGTGCTACATCTTTCACTGGCTGACCACTTTCAACCACGCTAGAGCAACAATTAGGGCCCGTCACGGTCAAAGAGCAGACAGGGTACACGCCAACGAGCAACGAAAGTTTCCGTGCGCCTTGGGGTCATTTTGTACCCACAGGGTTGTATTCTTCATATTTTAGAATATTTCTAGTGCGAAGACTTCTTTGAATTTTCAGTATCCCCCCCAAAAAAAAAATAACGAACAAATTTTTTTCCCCCCCCCCCCCCCAACCCCCCCACAACAACAACCCAATCATTTTGACAGGCTGCTATGCAAAGCGTAGGCTGCGGATCGGATTAACGAGTAAATTTCCTCTTTGAAAAGTGGTGGATACGATAGTAAAACTAAACTCTCTGGTAAACCACGACGTACGGATAGGGTTAAATAAAACAAACAAAAGCCCTGCGGGGAATGAAGTGGGAAGAAGGCGGCATAGCGATGGATTGGACATACATGTATTCCAAGTTATTTAAAAGTAGTTCTAAGCTCCTTGATGTATTCTTAGTATAGGAAGCCAGGTAGCTGCCTTAAAAAATGCATGGGATTGGAATCGACAGAGAAAGAGATCAAAAGGAAGGCCGCGTGGAACCTGGAGAAGAGTCACAAAGAATGCCTTACAGGAGAGTGGGACCACATGGAATTGGTATTAGGAGGCTAGCCCAGGATAAGAAAAGAGAGGGGGGGGGGGTGCGGGGAGGGATGGGGGTTGTTCGTTGCCTATACCCTGGATACAGGGCGAGGAAGTGTAACAAAGTGAAGCCAAAGGGCTCGTGGCTCGTAAATACCAGGTGAAACTAGTACACTGGACGCTGCTTCCGGCGCGAGGGGCGTAATTACAACTGGACGCCACCACCCAGGACGGCATCTTGAGGGACAGGGAACCTTAGAGTGGGGCGTATTTATAACACCTTGCTGCCTCAAAATCAGTTAAGTCCCTGATTTGTGAGATCACGAAGACCGATATGAGGAGCGTCTCTTACGCGTTTGTAAACGCGTGTGAGTGCAAAACGATTCGGAGCGTTCAAAGCCCACACGTTCTTGGGAACTGGGGAAAAAGGATACAACCATCCAGAAGGTACCTATTGAAGTCTGAATAATCAAAGTGGGATCATTACGACGCTGGGGCCTTATATACCGAGGATCCGAAGAGTTTGCAGTTAGTTAGTTAGTTTTAGTTTTTAGGTCAGAGCAGACTAGCATAGACTAGAGAGGAGAGTAGACTAGAGTACTGAGAGGACATAGAGGTAGGAGCTAGACCAGGTTAGGCGAAGGGTAGTGACAATATTCTTGTACACTGCTAGATAGTTGTCTGTTTGACAAATGTTAAAACCAGTGTTTCAGGAAATGGTAGTTACCCTTCTGTAGATTAAAGGTCCTCGAAGCTAGTAGCATGTTTTGTAAACGTCATACATGTCATTGTATTTGATGATTAAATATTTCAAAAATATTACAGCGTGAAGTTTTCTTGTCATCTTTGACATAGCCTATGCGATCACGTGTCAGAGTGATGTAACCAGTACAACAACACCTTTTTTAAATACTGGGTTACAGAAGGACATTAGATTACATCGAAGAAGGCCTTGGGGGAACTTAAGCTGTCTTTTCGTACCGTGAGCGAAACTTATGAGTAAATGTCGGGGATGATTCTAGCTGGAGGCGAGGTAATGCTCAATGAAAGAAAAGGCCCTCTACTCTTTACTAAGCTTGACTCTATGATCTCAGCAGGAAAAAGAAACTTGAAAAAAATCAATATCTGCAAACTTCTGTTGACTTTTCAGGCTGCAGTAATAATAATAATAATAATAA